AGAGAGCAAGAGACCCGAGAACTAGAAAGGCGAGGCTCACCAAGCCATTTAGTTCTCTGCCCTTCAGTTAACCCCACATGTGTTTATTGGCCAGGTGGGCACAATAAACTACCTGATAGAGTGACAACAAAGAAAAGGAAAACCTTCAACAAGTTCGATTGACACAGTGGCTACAACGATGGTGTGGCAGTTACATCATCTCCTGTCAACTTGTGAAGAAGAGGTGGAGTCTAGCTTGTCAACCAGGTGATAGCCAATGAGGTCTCTGTGTGGGCATGGCCTTCTCCTGAGGATTCTGGGAACTCCTGTATTCCTCCCTGGACGCAGGAGACACTCTTTCTGCGTTGTCTCCCTGTGAGACATTCCTATTGACAAGCCACATGGAGCTATGCTGATGGCAGCCAGAGCCTTGGAGGTGGAGGAGCCACATGGAGACCCATGCTAGCACTCAGATGCTTCCACCACCACTGGATCCACAAGACTTTTCACCCACTGGCCTGTGATCTTCCTGCACTCAGCATCATTTCATGTGTTGCATGAGTCTGAAGAGGAATTTACAAGCTAGTATTGGGCCTAAGGGCTAATATTGGACTTATGGACTTGATCCGGACTGGGCTGGGGTTTTTTTCTTAATATACAATTGCTCTGTGATATAAAGTTCTCTCTTACACACATATGAGTATCTCTGGATTTGTTTCTCTAGTCTACCCAGATGGACTCTGACAGATGAACAATGGTGAGGATGTTGCAGGACCAGCCGTGTTTCCTTCTGTTATGCAGAGGGTCGCTCGCACCGAACCACAACCATAGCCTTTTTGTCATTGTTCTTGTTTCATTCAAAATGCCTTCTATTACTGAAAACATATTTTTTCAGCAAAAAGTTCAAAGCAGAAATAATTCAGATTTGAAGGGATCGCACATTAGGAACTTTGTTCGTTTGTCATCAACATAGCTGCAGGGCTTATGGATGTCCAAAGCCTTGTACCTTGATGAAAGCTACCAGCGGCATAGAGAGTAGTGTAATGCCGGGGTTGTGGTGATTGAGTGGTAGAATGTTCATGATACTCTGTGTCAATAGAAACTTGAGTGTTGCTAGGATGCTCAACAGGTTTCTGCAGCACTGTTGGACTGAGCTGGATTAAGAAGAGAGGGTTGCAATCTACTTCTGAAAACCAGCCAATGAAAACACCACAGATCATAAGTGGTCCCATCTGCCGTTGATCGTGAAGATGGTGTGGTACTGGGCAGTGTTTCCTTTCATTTTATGTGGGTCACCATAAGTAAGGGGTCTATTCAATGACAGCTAACACCAACAGCAAGTGTAATGTTATGTTAGGTGTCCCTGACCAAGAAAGAGTTGTAATTTTGCTGAAAAGTCATGTCGGTACATCAATTACACTGAACATATGATTTAACAGTTGAATTTTGAAAACAAACAAAAAAATGGTTGTTAAGCATTGTAAAAATTGATCCTAGTACAAAGAATATCATTTCAGGAATAAAATGTTCTATTTCCAGTCAAAAGAATAGCCTCATTCTCTGTATAGCAATGATGACTGTGTTGCATGGGATAGCTACACAATGGCGCTCAGCAGGTTCAAGTTATAGAAACTTACGTTTTCTTTCTTGATCTTCTACAGAAAGACAGAGCCACTGGAGCAAGCATGCGGAGCTCAGCCAAACCCTGGAACCCAGTGGTCAAAGCTGGGAGCCATGGCACTGACCGTGTGCGGCCCCTCCTGGCTGCTACTTCCGGCATGAAGAGCTCCAAATCTTCAACCTCATTGGCTTTTGAGTCCCGGCTCAGCAAGGTATGCACTAACACGTACCGAGCAGTGCTGTCAGGCCCCCAGTAACCTCCTGGGGCTATTGGATTGGGGTTATTGGTTACTGGATTACAGAGTGCAATAAGCAAACGTAGTGGCTTCTCAAGGAAGGGAAGGAGGCCCCCATCAGTGCTTAAGAACCAGCACATAAAAAAAAAAAAAAAAGAACCAGCACATATTGACCCAAAGAAATGGATGAAAAGGGGTAGTATCAGAGGTACTCTGGCACAGAGAAAGGAAATCTGCAAAATGTGTACCAAATCCAGGACCTCTGCCTTAGACTAGGAGTCCCTCTGAGGTGCAAGTGGTTGACATGCTCAGTTACTGAAAGGCAGGTTGGAGGAGATCTACTTCTGAGAAAACTGGATGGAGAAACATCCCAATGTAATCAAAATGTGGTACTTCATACGGAAATGAAGTCCTAATATGAGCACATAGGTGAACCTTGGAAACAGGCTGCGTGAAATAAACCGATCATAAAGTGACAAATATTATACGATCTCATTTATAGGAAATTACAAGAATCGGAAAATTTCTAGAAACCAAGTGGTTATCAGAGGAAGGGGGTAAGGAAGAGCCACTTTGGGGAAGAAATGAATTTTTATGATGATGGAAATTTGGCCGCGATTATGGGTACCGGTTGCACAGTATGATTAAGGTCATTGACATAACTAAACCGTCCACCAGAAAAACATGGAATTCGCAGATGTGTTGTATCTACTTTTAGAACAACCCCCAAAGAGAGAAACCCATGTGGAGTGCGGTTCTCCACTCCCTGGAGGGTAGTGTGAGTGTAAGTGGAAATGGACTCAAAGGAGCTGGTTGACGGTTGGCTTGGCCTTGAATTGTAGGATACTGAAGTCAGAGCCCTGTCCTAGCTGTCCACCGAGTGAAAGTCAGGCTCCCCAGTGACCCTCGCGTCTCTGAAAATCCAGTCATTGAGGCTTTGTGCTTCTTTCTCGAGAGCTCCTAGCAGCCTCCTCTTTGTTGATTACTTTCTCCCCACCTGGGAATGCTTTCTTCTCCCGCACAGGCAGCACCTTTGCTGCCTCCTCTTTTGGCTCCTCCCCATGTGCTCAGTGGGGTAGTTACATAATTTCATGTCAACTTGAAGATACATGAAAGTGTATTCAACCTACCAATCAGATCACAGCCTGTTGGCGCCTCCTTGTGGGCGTGGCATTCTCAGAAGGAGACCCCTGGAACCTCCCCCTCGTTCTCTGTCTTCACCTTTCTGCTGGCTGGCCAGAGCCACCATCATTGGATCCACATGATTTTGCATCCACTGGCCTGTGATTTTCCCGCATTCTGCATAGGACTTATAGACTATTATCGGACTCATGGACTTGAGTTGGACTGGGATGTTTTATCGGTAGATAATTACTTCTTGATATAAAACTCTTTCTTACCCGTATATGAGTGTCACTAGATTTGTTTCTCTAGTCAACCCGGCCTCACACTCTCAGTTTCTAACATTGGTGGACCCGGGACTGGTCCTCGCCTTTTTTCTAGCTATACTCATTCTTGAGGTCAGAGGTTTGTGTGTGTCATACCCCACACCTTCTTTACTATCCGAAGGAGAAATCCATAGGTAAGATAACCCGCTTACCCATCATTTAGGGGGTCAGTGTTAATTTAGTGGTAGTATTCTCACCTACCATTTGAGATGCCATTGATCTTATCACTGGAGGCGTGTGTGTTGCTATGGTGCTGAGCAGGTTTTTATAGAACTTCTAGACTAGGATGAGCCGGGAGGAAAATCTTGATGATTTGCTTCCCCAAATCAGCCAATGAAAGCCCTGTGGATCACAGCGGCTTCATCTACAGCTCATTGTTGGGGTGGCGCAGGACCAGACAGCAATTTGTGCTGTTTTGCAAGAAGTCACCATGAGTTAGGGAGCCTTAACAGTAGCTAGCGAGAAAAGCAGTATGTAATTTCAAATATACAGTGCCCTGTGCTGATGGGGGTTATCTATTGTCAAGTTAGTTCTGACCCATAGCAATCCCATGGACAACAGTTCTACTGGAGCCTCACTATCATTGTTGCAGCCCCACTGGGTCATCACCTTTCCTCTTTTTCACGGACCTTACGCTTTATCAAGCATGATGCTCTTTTTCCAGGGCCTGATCCTGCTTAAGAAGTTTTGCCATTTTGCTTCTAAGGACCGTTTTGCTTCTTCCAGGACAGATTTTCTTCCTTCCTTCCTTCCTTCTTCCCACCCTCCCTCCCTCCCTCCCTTCCTTTCTTCTCTCTTCTGGCAATCCTGGGATATTCAATATTATTTGCTAACACCACAACTCAAATGCATCAATTCTTCTGCTACCTTCCTTCTTCATTGTCCGGCTTTCACGTGAATATAAAACCCACTACTGTCCAGTGGTTCTGATTTATAATGACCGTGCAGGACAGAGTACAGCTGCATCATAGAGTTTCCGTGGCTGCAAATATTTAAAGAAGCAGTCTGCCTTATATTTCTTCCATGTAACAGTGAGTTGGGGCTTTGTTTAATCATGGTGACAACCAAAAATACCTAGCCTCCTCCCTACAAATGTCCATCACGCTTCCTGAGGGACAGCAGTGTCCCACTTGAGAATAGTTGTTCCTGTGCTTTTAAGTCTAGTTTTCAGTATTATGTATGAATGACTTCCAAATTTATCTCTCCAGCCAGGTTCCCTAGAGCCGGAAATCCACCTGTCTACATAGTATCACCCTTTAGATATTTACAAAGCCAATGTCCGGAAGCTAATCTTAATTCCTCCCTGCACCTTCCTCTCCTGAATATGCCTGTCAGAGTTGATAACTCTACCCTTCCTGTTGCTCAGGTCAGAGCCTGGAGCTTCGTCCTTGACCTTCTTCTTCTCACATCCTCAGCCATCAGCAGTCACTCCTGTTGTAAAAACACCCTCAAATCCACTCCATTTTCACCACTTCATCTGTGAGCCCTTAGGTCAGAGCAGCATCCCATCCATCCTTGCACTGGTTTCCTCCGTGGCCCCCCTCCTTTAAAAATGTTTGCCCCCTGCCTTCTGCTCTGAGCAGAAGCCACGGCATCTTTTGAAAACACATCAAGTCATTTCTCTGCTTGCATCGGTCCATTTGTGCAGAATGAAAAGCAAAGTCTTCTCATTGTTCACCAATGCCTGCCCAAGCCTAAGTCTCTCTTTGCTAACTTTATTACCGTCCTTTCTGCCCTGGCTTCTTGGGCTTCATCCCCCAAATGCCAGGCACACACCCGTAGCCCCATGTTTCTGGCTTCAAATCCCTGGAGCCCCCATCCTTCTCCCAACCCTCCTGATATAGTTAAAGTTTATTGTGCCAACCTGGCCGATAAACATATGTGGAGTTAACTGAAGGGCGGAGAGATAAATGGCTCCGTGAGCCTCACCTTTCAAGTTCTTGAGTCTCTTGCTTTGTAATGGTTGGACCAGGGTGCAGCTGCTTTAGCCAGTTCCCTGCTTCAACTGACAAGGCTCACTTCCTGCAAGACATCCCCAAGGAGAAGCCACATGGACCTAATCTGATGCAGCCCTGGTGCTGGAGCAGCCGTGTGGAGACCCCTGCCAGCACTGAGATGCTTACACGTTCACTGACTCGGCTTTCCTCCTGCAGTTGGTGTCATAGTGTGTGTTTTGTGAGATGGAGGAGGACTTTGTGGATTGGTGTCGGACATCTGGCTAATGTTGGACTTGTGGGCTTGAGCAGCACTGGGTTGGAATGTTTTCTTGACGCACACACAACCTTTATATAAAACACTCTGTTATACATGAGTTTATGTGGATTTGCTTCTCTAACATACCCAGACTAACACAACTCCTGACTCTAACACCAGCATTTTCACTTCAAGTCTGTGCTCACATGTCATGCTGGCAGAGTGGCTTTCCCCTGCCTATAAAACACTCCTGTGACCTCTTTCCTTACCCTACTTGTCTCCTCAGCACTGATTATCCTCAGGCACCCCTGCTTATTGGCTGTCAATTTTCCCAAGACTAGAAGGTAAGCCCCATGAGGGCAGATTATTTTAATTATTTTTTGAATCATCCAACTCTTCCCTGGCCGTTGCCACTGAGCCGACTTCCACTCATGGGGACCTCATGTATTACAGAACAAAATGTTGCTCAGTGTTATTGCCACCGTCGGCATCTTTGATATGTTTAAGGTCATTGTTTTAGCTACTGTATCATTGTCTCTCATTAAGGGTTTTCTGGTTTAAACCAGGGTTTCTGAGGTTAACAAATCAAAACTTTGCCATCCTTGCTTCTGGTTGTCTTTCTCCTACGAATGATGTGTTCATCCTTCTGCAAACCTGTGGTATAGATGCAGAACTGCTCCTGCAGTTCAGATGCATCTGTTCATCTCTGTCTTCTTCATTGTCCACTGTTGACATGCAAATGGAAAGTTCATGTCTTGGACAAGCAGCGCACCTTAGTCTTCAAGACAGCATCATAGCATCTTACAACTTTTTTTTATTATTAAAAGATCATTTCCTGAGGGCTCTTACAGCTCTTATAACAATCCATGCATCGATTGTATAAAGCATATTGGCACATGTTGCCATCATTATTTTCTCAACATGTACTTTCTATTTCAGTCCTTGGTATCGGCTCCTCTTTTCCCCCTAAGTCACAGGATCTTAGTCTTTGCTTTCAAGATTCCCTTCTCTTAGCCTGTAACTGAAAGGAAGGCATTTTGTATTACTTTTATTTTTTGCTATTTGAATACCCTGCTTTTCCTTGGGCAGATGAGGAGGAGGGTCAGCATATTGCCTTCATTGCCCCTTCTAGACCATCGTCTTGTTTTTGTACAGCTTCTAATTTTTCAGTGTTTGCCAGATGCTCCCCATTCTCATGGTGTTTATGAAGTGGTTTTCAGGATCCACTTGGATCCATTTTCTTCACCCCATTATCTAGTATCCACTTGGACCAATACCTTATTTGTACCAATATCTTTCTCTCTTGCTTCTTCAGCTTTGCTCTTTATTGAATCC